TATAGCTATAGATATAGATATATAGATATAGATATATACATTAAGTAAGGTAAGTATGTAAAAAATATAAAAATAAAATATGTATAATGTGCTGAATATGTTAAGTGTGTAAAAAATATTCAAAAAACATTTGTGCTTTATGCTACAATACAGTTATAAAACTAGTATGTTAAGTGTGAAATATAAAAATACGTATGTAATGCAAAAATGTACAACACAATAAGTAGGATTAAGAATAAGAAATATGTACAATATGTGTAACTAGTAGTAATTTAAAGAAAGGAGAAAACAACTACAGACCTTTATATTTTAAGTTTCATTGTGTACTGACTTCGTTTTTCCTTTTTTATTAGAGCACACGTGATATGTTAAAAAAAAGGCCTCTAACTTAGTGTTTATATCCATATAGGGTATTTAACCCTGTCTTAATGATTTGATCCAATATTAGCTGTTGAGACCAATTATTGTTTTATTTCGATGTAAATTTTCATTACTTCCGGTTTCTCTCTCACTCTCTCTGGCTTTACATATCATTAGAAAACGAGAAGGGTATTATGCAGTCCTGCAGACTTCTCACTTCACTTCACGTTACACCCACTTCACAAGTCACGACCACTTAAATACGCGACACGCCCAGTTCAACACAAGATAAAAATATATTGACTAAGGGGGTAAAAAAAATTAACATCCAGGGGGTCCGCTTGCAACCCTGTATCAAGTTTTTTTTATACATCTGATGTGATCCCATGGCAGGATGGTCTCTAGTTTGGGTTTGGTTACAATAGGTCTAATCTATAAACTGTATAAACAATGGTCGTAGCTACCGTGAAGTTATCCATTGGTTTGTGAACTACCATTGTGCTGTCCTTCAGCACAGCCAGGCCTGATCCCTGTTAATACAACTGCTCATGCCTGGCCCTCAGCAGCACCTCCAGTTGGTAGATCGTCATCAGCCCGTAGGATGACCTCACCATATCCTGATTACTTCCTCAGACCAGTGCACTCAGTGAGCCCTGGGCCCCTCAATCCACAGCGTGTTGTATCTCAGCAAGCAGCACAGAAAGACATGACGTACCTGCCAGCAAGCTCTCAAAGCTTTCCTGATCGAGCCCAGGCTCCACATGCACAAGTGGCTGGTTTCCAACCATGGGTCCCACCAGTCCAACTACAGGCACTACGTAAGCCTCAGTATGTGCAACCTCAGCCGGCGCCGCCTGCACTCCAACAGCCTCAGTATGTGCCACCTCAGCCTGCGCCACCTGTACTACAACACCCGGTTCCGCAGTATGGTCCATTACCAGCACACAATGGATAATCACATGCTCCTCAGCCACCTACTCTTGTAGGTCCAAACCCTAACTTGTTAGAAATGATGGTCGCATCTTCCTATGGCATCCCTAAACCTAAACCTATAGTTTTTTTAGCTCAGGAAAAGAGAGTGATTTTGCCCTTCTGAAGAAAGGACTGGACACTGTTCTTACCTCACAGTCATTTGTCAGAAGACTACAAATATCAGATCTTGTTAGATCATTTGAAGTTTCCCAGTGCATTCCAAGTAGCTAAAAGATACATGACCCTACGTGTTATACCAGTGCCATGTGGGCTCTTGAGCAGAAGTACGGACAGCCCAGGCAGTTAGTACAAAGTGAGCTTAGTCCCATCCTGCACGCATCACCCATAAAAGCAGGTGATGCTCAAGCCGTTGAAGACTTCGCCCTGGCTGTTGCCAGTGGGGATGCTTACCACTATGGAAACCGAACTTCACTGTGGTTCCCACGTAGACAAACTCGCTAAACTTCCACCGAGCTATCGTGATAGCTTTGCTGAGTACTGTCTCAACCGAGGTATCATTCTAACTGGATCCAATCAAACCTACATTCTCTTTGACCTGGCTGAGGGGTAAGAGCGGAAGTCCCGAGCCATACAGGTGTCCAGGCAGGCCACAGAATTGTACACCCCAGACAAGCCATACTTTGACTGGAAGGATCCAAAGCCACCCGAAACCAAACACAAGAGCAAGTCTACTTCCATTTATGATGGGCCAGACCAAGCTACATCACAACAGCCCACCAGTGTTCAAAGTGCAGCTCCTAAATCCATTGCCACAACCACAAAGCGAGAGCGGTTTAAGCTCTACTTTCTGTGAAGGGACAGAGCATTACCTAAGTGGATGTAGTGACTTTGCCAAGCTAGACATCACTGCTGTGTGCTGCCTGGAACAGAGAGAATAGCAAGTGCTGGAGTTGTGGGCGGAAGCACTCTGCTCACCACTGAACATTAAAGAAAGCCTGCAGTACTTGTGGAGAACAGCTCCTTGTATTGCACCACCTTGCCAAGGCCAGAGAGCAGAACCCCAATATCCTTACTGTCAGTACTGCATCCAGCGTGATTGACGTCGATCACTCTCATTACTCTGACAGAGTGATGCTTAAGGTTGTTCGAGTTAAACTTCATAACTGGAAGAGAACCATGGACACCTTCACGGTACTGGATGATGGTTCCAAGAGGATGATTATACTTCCTGTAGCAGTCAAGTTCCTCGGCCTTGAGAAGACAAAGAGCCCATCCCAATACCCCCCCTTAGCCCTACCCCTTGGCCCACCCTTAGATTGGTGCGTTCCCACGAGGGGTAGGAGTGTCCCAATTCCTTTTTGCATGTAGGGGCAGGGGGTATAACGAGGGGTAGTGGGTATGAAACTAGCCCTTCGGAGCGAGGGATTTCAGATGTTGACTTGCCAGCAAGGGGTAGACGTTGCCATGGCTACCACCGTGCAAGAGACGGAAAAAATTCATACATCTACGTATAATTTCGCAAATAAACATGGAACTTTTGTAAAAACGTTTTCGAATAACTATGTATTTGTGTAGAGAACGGGATCGGGATGTCCTACAGCTACATGGCGGGAGCATATCTTTGGAGGTGTCCACAGCCCAGTCAAAGGTGGAAAATAGGATATTAAATGCCTTTACTGCTGACCAATTGACATTAACCGAACAATCCTGCCCCACAGAACTTCTCAAGAAGAGATACTGCCATCTTCATGGACTTGCCCTCAAGGCTTTCAGACGGTTGAAGCCGATGATCCTGATAGGGTCCAATCACCCTCACCTCATCACCTCTGTTGGTCCTGTACTCCACGGCCCACCATGGGAGCCAGTGGCTGGCCACACAGAATTAGGTTGGGTACTTCAAGGGCCTGCCAGTATTCTACCACAACAAGCAGATGAAAGTGTTTGAGTTTTTCTTCCTTCATCACTCGGACTCCAGACCTCTACAAGAATGTAGAAAGGCTTTGGCAGCTAGACATCCTACCCTTCAGGAACAAGAAGGAGGTGACATGCTCAAAGAAAGACCAACAGGCCATGGATATGCTGAAGTCAAGGACCATTCATGTACCAATATGGAGTTCAGTGATACGCTACCATGTTGTTGAGGAAAGAGTTTACTTGCCTTCATGCACCCCGAAAGGCAGTCATGGCTCTTCTTAGAGGACCAAGGTCGCACTGATACACATAACCAAGAGATCCACAATTGTGGGAGACAGTCTCCTGCTCTGGTTTTGACACAATCTCCTGCCCTGATGCTGGCTGGGAGACAGTCTCCTGCCCCGATGTTGGCTGGGACAGAATCTCCTCCCCTGATGTTTCCTGGGACACAATCTCCTTCCCCAATGTTTCCTGGGACGCAATCTCCTGCCCTGATGTTTCCTGGGATGCAGTCTCCTGCCCCGATGTTTCCTGGGACACGATCTCCTACTCTGATGTTGCCTGGCACACAATCTCCTCCCCTGATGTTTGCTGGGACACGATCTCCTGCCACAATATTTCTTGGGACATGATCTCCTGCCCCAGTATTTCCTGGGAGATAGTCTCCTGCTCTGATGCTGGCTCAGAGACTATCTCCTGCTCTGATGTTGACTCAGAGACAATCTCCTGCCCCGATTGTGGCCGGATTCTTGCTGGGAAATAATCTCCTGCCCTGATTCTGTCTGGGAGACAGTCTCCTGCCCTGATGTTGGTTTAGAGACAATCTCCTGCCATGATTCTGGCTGGGAGACAATCTCCTGCCCTAATCTTGACTCAGAGACAATCTCTTGCCCCTGATTCTGGCCAGATTCTTGCTGGGAAATAATCTCCTGCCCTGATTCTGGCTGGGAGACAGTCTCCTGCCCTGATGTTGGCTCAGAGACAATCTCCTGCCATGATTCTGGCTGGGAGACAATCTCCTGCCCTGTTGTTGTCTGGGAGACAATCTCCTGTCCTGATTTTGGCTCAGAGGCAATCTCCTGCCCTGATGCTGCCTCAGAGACAATGTCCGGCCCTGATGCTGACTGAGAGACAATATCCTGCCCTGATTCTGGCTGGGAGACAATCTCCTGCTCTGATGTCATCTCAGAGACAATCTCCTGCCCTGATGTTGGCTCAGAGATAGTCTCCTGCCCTGATTCTGGCTGGGAGACAATCTCCTGCCCTGATTCTGGCTCAGAGACAATCTCCTGCCCTGATTCTGGCTCAGAGACAATCTCCTGCCCCGATGTTGGCTGGGACATAATCTTCTGCCCTGATGCTGGCCTAGACAGTACCTTTTTCTCTGCTGCTGGTTGGGGTAACTTTTTTTGCTCCGTTGCTGGCCGAGGCAGTGTTTTAATCCTTTTCACTGTCAGGTTCTCAGCGACTTTTTGCTCTTTAGCGGCCACAACCTTCGTTTTCCTCTATGCCATGGCTTTCTTTGTTTTTTCTGGGACCACTTTAGGCTGTGGAGCA